TCAGGTTACATACAGTTATATTTCTGGAAAGTTCAATATTTATATAAACTGTTTCATGTGTGTGAACAAAACAGCTGGTTTTAGGTCTTTCACCTAAATCCCCCCCTAGGGGGCGGTACTGCCCTTGATGAGATGCTCCATTCTTAGCTCAATATCTTAAACTCAACATGGCAGTCAGGTTGGGGGAGTGAAATACTTGTACAAATAGACAGTTTCTCCTTTTGCTTCATAATCAAAGAGCTTTTTCACATGGAACAGGAGGGGAGAGAGAATCCCAACTCTACACCAAAAGAGGAAATTCAAACTACTTTGAATTTATTGAGAAGGGACCACAGAATTCCATGGGAGAATATCAGCACAAAAAGAACATTTAATACAGACCCTTTCTCAGGGGTGATGGGGTACAGATGGAGGAGCAGGAGACAAGTCAAGGGTTACAAGAACAGAGAAAAAGATAGCCGGAGAAACTTTACAGCAAAGGGGCTTAAGGATTCAGTCTTTGTCACGAGATGGGCTGTAGTTCCAGTCCAATCTCTGTGACCTACTAACAATAGATAATTTATTTAATTTCAGTTCTTTACATATATATTAGGGTGATAATAATGGTATTTCATACTATTGTTAGGATGATTGTAACATGTAAAGCACAAGGGAAAAAAGTAAAATTCACTTAATGCTGGCTGTCACCATTATTTCATAAAAGCTTCAAACGTTACTTGGCATTGCCGTTTAGAGAGATTTAAAATTTGGAATAAAAATCTGTTAGATGTCTCAGGGGCTTTATATTTCATATCAGAAAAGAAAGGTTTGATAACCTTATATAACTTCACAACACAAACAGGTATATTATGACTGAGATTCCTAGATTTTAATGGTTTTCTTAATATTTGCATTACATTAAGCATTTTCTACAGGATCTCAAGAAATTGGTATTAGGACCATATCTGGGAAATGAGCAGAGTATGACAGAAAACCAAGAATTGTACCTAAATTTTATATATAGCGTGACTTTTTGAGGGTAAACCACTAGCTAAAATCTAGTTAAGAGCCAGAGACTTTGAAAGATCTGTGTATGTGAACACAGTAAATGCCTTTTAGGGGCAAGAATCTAAGTCAATTCTAGGGAGATTTCTGAACAGCTGAGACAGTGTGTAGACTCCTAGAAGAGAAATAAAAATAATTGGCTGTTGAATGAATGGGAAAGGGAACATTCTTGGAGAAAGAAGCATGAAAAATGCATTCTCCCTTATACTATAAACCTAACAGCAAAAAGTAATCTTTCACATCACTAATAACAAAATTAGATATTACAACTAGAATGCTAGTTTTATTGAGCATATAACTAGTGTAAGTTTTAGATTTCTCCTGAATTTCCTGAGAGATTACAAATCAATACAATCTTTTTAGAGGAATTTGGTATATGCATCAAATTCCTAAAACTGCTTTAAACTCAATATTTTCCTTTTAGAACTATTGCAACAATGAAAATATTAACAGCAGGTGTCACATAACACTTGCTATGTCCTGAACATTGCTCTAAAGGCTCAGGGTCACACAGCTCAAAGCTAAGTATCTAGAACTTGGGCACGGTGGTTCCAAAGCCGGTACTCAGACAACTTCTGCTGTTTTATATAGGAGGATGTTCACCACAGCATTGCTCAACACAGGAAACGTTTAGAAACAAACAAAATGTAATGTAACCATCTCCATTGGTAGCAGGTTGTTTCTCTGAAGCTTGGAAGACTGGCAGACCTAAGTGTGAATCTTCCCCCTAAATCTTATTAGCTGTGTCAGGTTCAGCAGGTTAATTAATTTCTCCAGGCCTCATTTGACAAGTCTGAAAATGAGGATAATGCCTGATTTGAGTTGTTGAGATTGAAATGATCTATTAAACACCTAATGCATGAAAAGCACAGGATAACAAAGATTGTTATCACTTATCCCTTTCCCTTATTCTTCCTTAATCAGATAAAATGAAGATTAGACCTAGCAGGAGTCAAGACAAGATTCTTATAAAAGAGATGGGAGGAAATCTCATTTCACATGTAGCGCAGCAGCTTTCTCATGGCAATCTATTGAAAGTCAACCCTCAAAACAAGTTTATGAGAGAGGAGAAAAAAAAAAAAAAAAAAACTAGTCCTAAGCAGAGTTTTGAGTGTGTGTGGAGAGCCTAGTCTGAGAAATTCATCATAATTACATTTGTATTTGAAAGGGGAGGCTACCTGATGGCAGGGAACAGACCGCTTTCCTTGCTTCCCACCACTTTTGTTCAGCAAATATTCAATCCATTAAATAATCAGATAAAGACCACTGATTATATTACAGGCATTCTGCTAAACAGAGGAGTTGATAATAAAAAAGTGGGTGCTCCCGTGGATGGATGAATGAATGAATGAATGAATGAATGAATGAATTGATGAACAATGTACCTTTTCTGATTTTTCTCAACTTAGTCATCAGTCTCTTTCTTGAGCTGCTTCTCTTGCTTCATTTAAGATTTTATTTACAATGTCACCAGGTAGAGAGAATTCCTCCAAAAAGTTAAAAAACATGGTCCATCTACTCCGACCAAATCTAGGCAAAAAGACTAAGTGTGCTCAACTTGTGTATGGGTTTCAAAATTTCAAAAATGAAAGGTGGAAAAAAAATCACCAATTAGAATAGAAGGCAATTATCATGTATCATGTAACCATATATCGATGGTTTTCTATCATCATTGTTTATAAGAGATAATCAGAAATCACACTGATGCCCTTAATGGGTAAATGACTAAAAAAATTCACACCATTAAAAAGATAAGATACTACAGAACAACTATTTCACATCTACTGACCTTGTCAATTCCTGGAAATACATTAATGAAATCATGGGAAATGGGGGAAAAGGCAGAATATGATCCATAGTTATAGCAATAAAAGTATGTGTAATAGGTTTTACAAACACAAAAAATGTACTTGGCCAGGTAAGACTATTACTTTCTCTTCTGGGTATGGTTGTCCATTTTAATAATAAAAACAAATGACACATATAGTAAATTGCATTTGCTCACAAACTTATACTACACCAGAAGATAGAATGAAAAAACACAACAAAGGAACATCATCTCAACTGCCACGTTAATATGCCAACACTTTGGCAACTGACTCATGGATCACTTGGAACCTAATGGCAGATTTGGGATTTTTCTTAATCCGAATAATTATTCTGAGCAACATATATAAACATTTGACTGCTAGTGTCGATTTTATTCTTACATGATAACCCCTCCAGTCTTTAACCACACGAGTGCCTACAAGGTAAACAAAAATTAAGCCTGTTGGCTTTCCACCATTCCTGTGGTTTGATTTCTTGATGGATAGATCAGAATGGCTGGTTCACATTTGGAAAGGGTTCCTAACAGTCTTTCACAAGCACTTTGTGTTTGAAAATTTAAAAACTTACTAATTCATTTAGTACTTAAAAAATAACAACACCCTCATCATTTAGTGGTTTAAATGATGACTGAACAATAACTCAAATTAGTTGTGCTCTATATTTCCTTTATTAACATAATTAGCAATCTTAGATCTTTTTAAATTGTTTTACTCTAGCCTGAGGCGGAAATGGTTTCAAAAGATTAAATACATATGCTGATTCAAGATATGATTTCTCATACATCCAGCCTCTATAATTTTGGATTATAGAGCAATATAGTGTAATTTTGGCACCAACTCTTTGGCAATGCTGTTTAAAAATATAGGTACTAGTACACACAACCAAGGATTTTCATTCTACATTGCATGTTAATACTTTTTCTTTAATATGAGAACCATGACTTCAATTTTTTTGGGAAAATAATTACTTAAGAATACGGTAATTAAGGGCTGGGGCTGGGGCTCAGCAGTAGAATGCTTGCCTAGCATGTGTAAGGCCCTGGGTTCGATCCTCAGCACCACATACAAATAAATAAAATAAAGATATGTGTCCACCTAATGTGTATGTGTATGTATATATATTCACACACACACACACACACACACACACACACACACATTCCTAACTGACTCAAAAATTCAGAGCTAAAATCCAGATAGGATTTGAACACACCTTACAGAGTTGGGATCTGTATAAGCCTTAAAAAACTTTTAACTAAAGAATTTAAGTTTTCTGGTAATCTCTTTGGGGGCATCAATGTAACAAAAGATTAGAAAATAACATCTCATAAAATTACTTGTCTTGTCCAGAAGTTAGTTCAGGCTATAAAATCCACATCATCTGGGTGAGTTTCAACAAAAAATTTAATCTTTTTCTATGAATTCGAATTTGCTGTTTACAAAAAAATGAAACTACATATACTTTCTAAATGAAAACGAGAAAACAAATGAAAATGCTAGGAAGAGTTCAGTCACTGCTAACAGTTATTATCTAGCAATTGTCTTCCTCAAATGGATACATTTTAAATACAGCCTATAGTCAAAGAACCACCTTTTTTTTTTTTGGCAGAACTTTAAGCCATAGGGCTAATTATACATAAGATAGAAATCTCATCAATAAACTGCACTAATTTAATTTAAGAGATTTGAAGAAATAGTCCTAACAGTCCAAATCATATTTAAAGAAGCCAACAAGAAGGAAAACTGGGATGAATAAATGGACTCCTGTGGGGGACGTTTTATCCTGAAAAGGACCTAAGACCCATATATAAATAAGACCCATATCCTAGATATCCTAGATAAACCACGTCTGAATGATTCAAAACAACGTGGCACCAAAAATGCAAAGGACTCAGTGACTCTAAATTACAATAAAGAAGCTCAGTAACATTCAGTTCTTCCCACTACTCCACCGACAAAACAAATCAAAAAACGAAACCAGAAACCCACCAACTTGCAAGGCACTGGTTTACCTGTTTGGAGCCCATCAGAGTAACTTCGTAGAGAGGGGACAGAAAGGGGAGGCATATTTAATGAATAAAAGGGAGGGCTGAGGGTTTGGGAAAGTGTGCAGGAGACGAGTCATACCTTTCACAGACTTCCCAATACTGTGTAAGTAAGTGATAGAACTGTAGTTTTGGGCAACGCTCTTCAAAAACGCTTCCATCCCTTCCTGGTGGTGGTAGCTGAAATCCAGCGCAGCTACCAAAGGCAGCAGAAGCCCTAGCCACAGGCACGCGAAGTCCATGTTCTAGAGATGAATAAGAATAAAGCTGAGAACAGATGAAGAGCCCGGCTCAGCCTCCTACTCTCAGGGTCTCCCGACACGCTCCCTGCTTCCTAGGGAGATAAAAGTTGGAAGCAACACCCTCGGGCTTAGCAGTGCAACCAGCGACCGGGAGCACAGACAGCCCCCCGCTGCCTTCCACCCAATCGGCCGCCCCTCCCGATCCTCCTCCGGGCGTCTCCACCTCCCGCCGCCGTCCAGCAGCTGCAGCAGCTGCGCTCAGCCCCGCGCGCCGTGTCTCACCAGGGCTCAGGCGCACGTCTCCAACCGCCCGCGGTGGCCCGGCGGGGCCCGAAGTTATAGCACGGTCAGGGGGCGGTCGCACCCGGGACCCGCCCCCGGACGTCCCTCCGGCCCACTTGGGCGCCGCGCAGGTCTCTCCTGGGCGGGGCCTGGGCGCCTTCGCACCTCGGAGAGCCGGTTCCCGAACCTCTCGGGCTTTTAAGGTGCGGCGACTTGCGCAGGTGGGCGTCGGAGGGCAGCTGGAAACCCAGCCCCGGCTCGCGGACTTGCCCTTTCCCGCGCCAGGGCTGGAAGTATGCCCGGACCTCTGCCATGGCTGCGCCCCAGGGCAGGTCCCAGGGCGCTCCATCGAGTGTAGACGGCTGTGGCGTTTCCCTGCGGTTAGCGGCGCTTGGCCCACCTGGAGTAGGGACCGCGGCCGGAAATCGCGCCAGGCTCTCCAGCCCCGTTCTGCAAGTGCCTGGACTGTAAAAAGGAAGAACGAGTTTGTATGTGTGTGGGAGTTTGAAGTGTCATCAAGTGTGGAATACAGAAGTTTCCGACAAATTTATTTGGATGGGATCTGACCAAATCAGAGTTAAGTTTAAAACGCGCATTGAAAAATATAGAGCCATTGTCACAAATCTGACTCCCCTGTATTCCTTAGGCTGTTTTCAGTTCTCTCTTTCTAAAAACTCTGCTTTCTAGAAGGATGGGGGGATGATCTATTTGCACCAAGGAACCTGAGAGGTGGTTTGTGGCAGGGGCCACAGACTTCACAATCTATCTGATGGATCTTAGGAGCCCTGTCAGGGTATTATGGACATGTGGAAGGGTCAGGGGAATGCAGAAAGTTTGAAAGCCACTGATTTGAGATAACGTTCCTCTCTGAGAGGTTAAAATAAAGATCCTAGGGTTCCACCTCAATTGGATGAGCAGAATGTCTCTTGGGGAGGCTTAAGAAACGATAATTTAAGACAGTCATGAGTGAGTCCAATGTGCCTTCCAGAGTTGAGTACTGCCAGAGTGATTGCCTGGCCCTTTGTTGCAGATAAAGATGCTGTTCCTGGAACTGAGCTCTAGGGAATCCCTGAACTCCCCTGGGACTCTGCTGAGGCAACACAAGTAGTTTTAAGAACTAAAACCATGGAGTCTCAGGCTGGTACAGGTCCTTGCTCTGACACCTCAGTTGCATTGTCAACTCACTGTGTCTTGGTTTCCTTGTCTGTAAAATGGAAATTGTAATTACCTAAATAAGGTTGGCAGGCCCATTGTAAAAATAGAGGTGTTTATTAAATAAATAATCCAGTTTAGTTCATAAATCTTTAAAGGTAATTTTCTTTTTTAAAAGTAATTTTCTAATTGTTGGAAAATCTTTATATGACACTGTTTTTGAGTGGACTTTTTGGGATATGCAGTACTTACTATGTAAGTACTTATGACTTTCACCAGATGATTTGAAGAAGTTCCCTTTTCATTGTTCATTGACTAAGAGCCCTGAGAGGGGGAATAGGTCTTGAGGAGATTAGTTATTTAGGCAAAGTTACTATAAAGAATGGGAAAGGGAAGTGGCTGGGAACAAAGGGAAGGGTTGCTGATGGACTTTAGAAATCATACTTTTATAACAGAAGGAAGTGGAACCTTTGTGACTTGCTGTGACTAGCAACTAGGAGAAATGATGGCTTCACTGGGGTAGAGAGTGCCAGAATTGTTGTTCCAGAAAAACAAAGGGGTGAATTAGAGTTGAAATTGCTGCCCTTGGGTTGCACATAATAGGTAGAAAGGGAAGCAAATTCAGAGACAGACAAAGAATGGAATAAGGAAAACAGAATATTGAGGTCTGAAGATTTAGGACCTTGTGACCCAAACTGGGGTCCAGGGATATCGACAATACCTTGTTGGAAATGCAAAAATCTCTTTTTTCCCTTCCAAGCCTGCATCTTCAAAAGATTTTTCAGAAGATGCATCCATACAGTTAAGATGCTCTTATCTAGATATTAAGGGAAAAGGAAATAGAAAAAAAAAAAAAGGTTCAATGTCAGAGTGTGGAAGACCAATAGAGTAAAAGGCCAATAGAGTAAAACGTAAGTTTAAGATTTCAGAGGTGATCATTCTAAATATTACACCATTAAAGGTAAAACCATAACAAAAGGCTAATAATCGGACAACATAAAAATGTATGCTTTCTGCACAGGAAAACACAGCATGAAAGTTACAAGAAAATAAATTGAAGGACGAAATTAATAGCTCTTAAAAATCAAGAATGGGCAAAGGATATTAATAGTTCATAAGTGCAGTAATATAAATAGCCAATAAACATAGTAAAAGTTATCAACCTTGATAGCAATTAAAGAATTGCAAATTGAAAGGGCAAAGTAATATTTTGTTTTGATTTATTACTAAGAATGATTAAAAAGATTGATAATACCTAGATTTATGGGATCAGGGTGTTATGGTTTAGATGTGGTATCCCCCAAAAGCTCATGTGTGAGACAATGCAAGAAGATTTGGAGGAGAAATGATTGGGTCATAGCTTTAACTTAATCAGTGAATTAATCTCTGATGGGATTAACTGAAGTGGTAGAGTGTGGCTAGAGGATTTGGAAAGTGAGGTGTGGCTTTGGGGTATATAAATTTTCTGGTGAGTGGAGTCTCTCTGCTTCTTGATCATGGTGATATGAGCTGCTTCCCTCTGCCACACATGCTACCATGATGTTCAGCCTCACCTTGAGCCCTGAGAAATGGAGCCAGCCTTCTATGGACTAAGACCTCTGAAACCATGAGCCCTCAAATAAACTCTTCCTCCTCTGTAGTGATGGCCAGATCCTTTAGTCACGGTATTGAAAAAGCTGACTAAAACAGGAGAAATGACATTTACTTCTTTCAGTGGTACTGTAAATTGATACAGTCTTTCTGGTGGGCAATCTGGGAATAGACATAAAAATTTTAAATGTCCTATTCTTTAGTAAGAATAGGTTATAGAAATCATTGAAAGATGTGCTGGGTTTATGCTCTTTATGTCAGGAACTTCAAGTGTTGCTGTTTTAAATTGCAACAAAATAGATAAAAACCTAAAAGTCAAATAGTAGCAGATTGGTTAGATCATTGGTTCTCATTTGGGGAAGTATTGTCCACTGTGAGACATCTGGAGATACTTTCCATTGTCAGGACTTGGGAGAAGGTGCTGCTGATATCTAGTACAGATACAGAGGACAGAGAGGCTACTAAACACCCTACAATGTATAACATTGCTTCCCACAACAAAGAATTATCCAGCCCAAAATGTCAGTCGTCAATGTTGACACATCCTGAGTTAGATAAAAAAAAATATTGTAGCCATATAATACGTTGTTTTTCAGCTGTAGTAATGATGATGTAGAATTGAAAGGAAAATGAGAAAGCAAGAGACGAGTGAGCAAGAAATGAAGGACAGAGACAGGCAGAGATCCACACAAAGATTTATTTGTAAAAGCTGACAAATAAAGGCCATCCCTCTATAGAGTGGAGAGAGGCGCCTGAGATTTTCGGGTGTTCAGCTTTTGTTTGGTAGGGGTTTGAGTTGTAGTTGTGGTGCTATGGGATAGGTTTGTGGGTGCTTGTGGCAGACATAGGTGGGTGGGGAATAGCATGGGATTGGTTTAGGATTATGGTACCATGGCGTAGGTCACTAATGGGGGTGGGGGGAGTTTGGAGAAAGTACAGGAAAGTAAAAACTTATCTCATAAGATGGCTGCTCGAATGTTAAATCAATACCCTATAAGAATGGTATTAATTAACTTGGTAAGATAAATCATTTGGTGACAAAAACAGATAATAAAAGTAAAATGAGTAGGGCTGGGGTTGTGGCTCAGTGGTAGAGCACACACCTAGCACGTGTGAGGTCCTGGGTTTGATCCTCAGCACTATATAAAAATAAACAAATAAAGTAAAGGTATATAGAAAGAAAGTAAAATGAATAGCGGGATCCCATTTAGGTACAGCAGATCAAAAAAATATTCCCAGCATAAAGTTTCAAAAGTTATAAAAATGCTGAGTGTCAATCTTTGGTTTGTAATGTTTTAATTTTCTTTTAAGAAATATTTATGTATTTTCTGAATAGTTTTTCCAATAAATGTTACTTTTTAATAAAAAAAGGAAAGAAAAAGCAATGAAGGCATTTTAATCTAAAAGCAAAGCAGAGCAAAAGCCACAGAACCATTGGAGATGCAAAGTTATGAATGAAGACAGGATCTAAAACATTTGGAAGTGACCCCATTTCTTTTTACTGAAAAAATGGGATATTAGGGTATTGAAAAGTAAGGTGTTGCATTGTTCATTTCTGCTTAAAGACTCTGAAGTTCCCTGAGATAGCAACAGAGGGAAATTCTACAGCCAGAGGCTAAAAATTATCTCTACAGACTTTAACAAGAATGGAAAAAAACAACATAAGTAGGCTTTGTAACTTTCAAACTTTGTTTTCTTTCTTTCGAAAGTGTCACAAGAAATATAAAAGAGATGAAAGGAAATTTAAAAATCTACAAATTTTACTTACTTGGAAACAAAGTCATTTCTAAGATCACATTTAGGGATTAAGTGATCCCCTAATGTTGCACATTTCTTTCTGATTTTTCACTATTAATGGATATAGTGTGTTCATTAACATTCTTTTTTAAAAATTTTTATTGTTGGTTGTTCAAAACATTACATAGTTCTTGATATATCGTATTTCACACTTTGATTCAAGTGGGTTATGAACTCCCATTTTTTCCTGGTATACAGATTGCAGAATCACATCAGTTACACATCCATTGATTTACATATTGCCATACTAGTGTCTGTTGTATTCTGCTGCCTTTCCTATCCTCTACTATCCCCCCTCCTCATTAACATTCTTAGAGATAAATTTTTGAGTACATTTTTATCTTCTTAGGAGCAATTCTTTTTTATTAATTTTTGTTTTAGTTGTAGATAGACACAATATCTTTATTTACTTTTATGTGGTACTGAGGATCAAACCCAATGCCTCACTCGTGTGAGGCAAGCACTCTACCATTGACTTTTAGCCCAGC